TCCATCAAGTCAACCCAAAGTCAACCCCTCAATTTTGTTCATTCCGTGATGCCAGGAATACCGTATAGCCATGCCTTTCACTTTGCGCTGTTATTCCTCATCTAAATTTAGCGTTTTTAAAGGTATATAAGTATCGCAAGAGTTATCTACTCCGAGTGCTCCACCAAAATCATCGTTCACCATGACTCCCGAAGAGCGTTCAGTGCTTCAAAACATTGGTATTGTTCTCTGGAGTAATCTCAATATTGATATTCCGATTTATTTTTTGTATGGTATGCATGCTTGGGAAGGCCCATAATTTCTCATGACCAACCGACATTGTACAGGATTCTTTGCTCCGCTCGCTATCCTAAACATACATAATCTCGTCATGTACGTGCCACATTTTCCATTGTTCATTTTCCCGACTCAAGCAACTTTTACAGCTATCGCAGCTTATCTTCGAACAGCACCAAGGGCACACTCAGCGTCATCATTTTCAGTTTCCTGGGGGCAACGGGTGTGCTGCTTTCCACCTTCCCGATTGACGTTGGTGCAGTTGCTGTCTTTATGCATGACGTTGCAAATAAGCCACTTGCGGATGTCGTCAAAAGTATGGATCACATTCTGAACGGGCCATGGACGACTTACCAGCGCTGGCTCATAAGTTTCCCAGTATGTCCCTTCAGTAATGATCAGTTTGCACAAAATCAATTATCTCAGCCTGTTATGAATGACGCACTTATCATTTGGCGTGCATGGTCAATCTTTTCTGGAAGGCGCTGGGCAAAGTACATTTTGGCTTCCACATGGATCATCACTGCAGGTATGTATATATCTAAGGCACTTAAACTTCATCTCCTTATTACTTCAATTTCAAGCAATAACACTCTCAAGTGTAATTTTTCACCCATCTTCGATTGTTGCTTCCGACGAGCCTCTGAGATCATACCACATTTCCGCAGATTTAGGTGCAACATCACAAGTTCTGAGCTTCGTAGTCAATCTCTTCGCTACTTCGCTCATTGCCTATGTCCTTTGGTAAGTTGATTAATCTCAGTTTTACATAAATACCCCTTTCTTACAAGTTTCATATTGTCCAGGGGACATTTGAAGCTCATTAGAAGTCTCAAAGTTCAACCATGCCTCCAAGATAAATTTCATGTCTGGCGAGTGCTTATGTTGCTCATGGATGCAGGTTTTGTTTACTGTAGTCTTCAGGTTTGGCCTCCCTTGTACCTCCAAGCTATTTCTGAAACTAACATTTGTGTTATTTCTAGTTCACTAATTTTATTGTACTACTCAATCCTATGGACAGCAGTTTGACATCATCATCTTTAACAGGACTAGAAGTCTTCGTTGGCGTATTCAACATGATCTCAGTTTGTGTCCTATGCATGTATCTTCTCCGTTAATTATACTCATATTCTATATTAAATCTCTTGCCAGTTATTCCATCCAACAATTGTAACATATCTCGCCCATGGCCTTTCATCTGCAGCTGGTATTCACGAAGCCGCAATTTCAATCCACCAATCTCAGCAGCAAAACAGAGATGCCAATGTTTAGGGCCATATCCCTTGTTGCCGCAGTTGATATGTGCATCAGTGGCCGCACCTCTTAATTTTGTACACTCCGCGAAATGTACGAATATCAAAAATTGCCTGAGCGTTGATATATGGAGGAAAACCCTGAGATAGAGTTGAAAGGGTGGGCCACCTAGGTCGATTGGCAGGCGATCGCCCATATTTCATATCCTGTATTTGTTCTACAGCTGTTCACACTTAGTACAGAGTCTACTTGTACACGCCGGATACTGAGTACTGAAGGATGCCTGTCCTGCAGCAGCGTTCAGGTCTCTGAGTTCAAACTAGATCCAGGCCACAATCCCACGGTAATTTCACCGAAGAGACGTGCGGGACTGTGTATAAAGTTCGGAAGAACGCACTGCGAGGCCACCCTTTGACAAAACGAATGGCGAACCACGAAAAAAAGGAGGACACTCACTCGATAACTTTACCGTCGTTGCCTTAGATCACGCCAGGGAACTCACACTTTCAGATCTTTGTATTTCGGCTCCATGTTATGTCGACTGTCCAGTAGGTTTGGATGGCTTCAGTGAAGGAAAGCATGTGTTCGCGATGCCCCACATCCTCTAGAAGTCTATCAAAATTGGTGGCAAGTAAGGATGTCGTTGATTGCTTACCGTAAATGTCATTTCCTTCATCCAACGAGATAACGTCCGATCTTGACATGCCGGAGAACGAGGCGAATGCTGCGTTCGACTTGAGTCCCTGCTAAAATTGTCATTGTTAATGAATTGGTGCCTTTTTTGGAGCTTTGCCTTTTTTATAGTTGTGTACGACGTCAACAGCGTTAGGGGCCATTGGTCCTGGGGGCAGATCTCGAAACTCGTTCGCAAAATCAAAAGCAACTAATTCAATGCCAACTATGGAGATTGTGGGGCTTGAACCCACGACCTTATGCAATAGCAAGATGCAAAGCAAACGCGCTACCACTGCGCCAAATCCCCATACCCTCAGGGTCCAAATCATGCAATATCTGCAGTGAGCTGTCGAAAAGACCTCTTTAAATGCGCCCTTAGGGCCTTCGGGATGACTGTACCCTCCAGACATTGCTTGAAGGCAGCAAAGAAATGAGTGGCGAGTGACGGTAGCAGTAGGAGCACGTTGCCTAAAATATAAAGGCTTGTTAATCGAACATCTCAACCAAAAGGATAGTTACCTCGTCTCGAGCTTGTCTTCGATAGCGACCAATCCATGGATGTATCGAATGATCAGGGCTATGAACAGGGGTTCGAGAACGACGTAACTGAATTTTCTCTCGCAGCAGATGCAGCTTGTAAGAGAGGCAAATGGATACTCACCTCTTCCTCATTTCTACGTGGATCGGGCCGGCCAATGAGCCCTGCAGTTCATGATCGGGGATTGACGAAGACTAGAGTCCTGTAGTCGCTCAATTAGCGAGATTGTGCGGTGGTTCCGTCTTTCCTCTGCGCTAAACTTACGAGAGTGATTCGCCTGTTCATGCGACGAAATGACGAGAGAACCAATCAATCTCAAAGCTCGTTAATGAGTTCCTAGGTTTACAGATGTTTCAGAAGTTAACAAGCGCAGTGGATGCGGAGA